ATAATATCTTTCAACTGGTGAATGGATAATAAAAATATGATATATATACACAATGGAATTCTATTCAGCTTCAAAGAAAACAGAGAATGCAGAGATGGCTCAGCAGTTAAGAGTACTAACTGCTCTTGCGGTGAACCCAGATTTAATTTCCAGCAGCCACATGGTGACTAACAGCCATCCATAACTCCATTTCCAAGGGATCTGACACCATCTTCTGACATCCATGGGCATTGCACACATAGGTGCACTTACCTACATGCAGGCAGCACACACATATACATAAAATAAAAATAATAAATAAAATATTTTTAAAAAAGAATTAAAGTATCATTTTGAAGACTGTTCAGAAATTTATGTTCAATTACTTAGAACTTCCGCATCCAGCTTGTATCTTTATTTTTCTTCAGACACTGTGAGAGCCAAGTAACGTGGGTTTCCACTGCATGCTTACTTTTGCCTCTGACTCTGCGTCTGCCTTCCTTTGTCCACAGTCAAAACACAGACTTTTCTTAAAATTTACCTTTTTTCCTAAACTCTTACAAAGAACCCTATTCAGTCTCCTTTTTTTCACTTGCAAATAAAATATAAAGACATATTTATCTTTTCATGGTATTATTTTTGGTATTTTTAAGATTATGTTTTAAGTCTCTTTCATGCAGTTAAAATGCATAGTCTCACACTGGCTTATTCATTGATTCATCGTTTGCATTTCAGGTCATCTATGAGATAGAAACCAATGGGACCTTTGGGATCCAGAAAGTCTCTGTCAGCATTGGACAAACCAACCTGTCTATTGAGCCAAGTGTTTCCTTACAGCAAGACTTCATCATTCACTTTAGGGTTGGTGGCCTTACCTTTGAGGGGAGATTGGGAACAGAACAGTTATTGGGTTAGAAATGCATTCTGTTTCTGTTCAAGCAAAACAGAATTCAAATTTAAGGCCTAGTTCAGTCTTAGTTGAGGCCTCAATATTTACTATTCCTCAGTGTAACTACAGTGACAGGTATTCAGTACACATTTACTCTTTACCTATTTCTCTGATTCTCTGCATAAGCCTAACAAAAGCAATACTCAAATCTGAACTTCTTGAAAATGGTCGTTTTGAATCTTAAGTTCAGTTAGCACTACACAGAAATTCTTTTACTTTTTAGTCTCATTTTTGAACATTCATAATTTTAGTTCCCACTACATCTTAGGTGTGTAGTTGTGACTGTTGGTGTTTGGCTTTCTGCTGCTGCTGCGGCTGTTGTTTTTCCTCTTTGAATTCAGCAAAGTTATTTTCAAGTCTGTAATCAGCTAAGTTCAGTAATTCCTCAGGTGCCAGTCAGGCTGTACATAGCACTAAATTGATAGCAACTTTTAAAAAATGGTGTTAAGGAATCCTTAGGCAATCCTTGCCTTTAATCCTTAGCAAAATTAGCATGTAGTGAATTTCAGTGTTCAGATCACTCAGGATCTGGGTGGTGGAGTCTTGCCCAGCACAGATAAGACCTGAAGTTCAGTTCTCAGTTGCACACACCCCCGACCAAAGAAACAAAACAACCAACTTGTTTCAAGGAAAAAAATAAAGCAAATAGTGTAGTATGGATTGGAAAATGTTTATTATGGAAAAGGGGAAATTGTTCCATACAGCTCCTTCATTGCACTGTCATAAGGAAAGATGTGATGCCAGGCAGGAAAGATGGAGAGCATGCTTTTCACAGTAATTGTCCCCTTCCCTCTGCAGGCATTTCATCAGAGCACAGCTGCTCTTCCTGCTGGTCCTAGAAGTGGGAATCCTGGCTATATTATTGGGAAGCCACTCCTGGTTCTAACTGGAGACTTAGGTCACTCGGTATCCTTTCTGGAGCTGTGTGGACTGCTGCAGCCTGATGGGACATGCTGCTGATGTTTCGACTTCCAGGCTCCCTCATTTTTTGAGGTGTTCAGTAATTTCTTTAACAAACTATTAGTGTATTATGTTCTCAAATATTGATACCACCAAAGGTTTTAAAACTTAGACTAGCTAAAAGTGAGGATTGTACTAATTTTTGCTTGTTTATATAGTTAATCATTTTTGGAAAAACAGTAATTAGCCTTTTTTTTTTTTTTAAATTATTAGAGAAAACATAAGCAGTGTTAAGGAAACCATGAATGCATCTGCTCTCTGCCCTGCCTACTTTCTTTTCCATTGTACTCTCCTTGACCATCGCTTGTCCACCTCAGATGACTTTGTTGCAGAGCCAGGGAAACGGAATTTGCTCTGCTAAGAGACATGCAGTACAGTTTGGAGTGAATATGATGTCTGGATGCACGTTAAGGTGATTCTTTGCTTGTGCAGCACTTCCCACAATTTTTTTTTTAACTGCTTACAGGGAATATGTTAATATTGTAACTTAAATTTTTTTTAAATTTTTATGTGTATGAGTGTTTTACCTGCATGTATATAAGTGCACCTGTGTTATACAATGCCTGCAGAAGAAAGCATCAGATCCCCTGGAACTGGAGTTAAGAATGGCCATTAGCCACAGGTGGGTGCTGGGAACCGAACCTGGGTCCAATGCAAGAGCAGCCAATGCTTTTAACTACTGAATCATCTCTCTAGCCCCATCTCTCCAACCCCTAATACTGTAACTTTTTAATATTCTAAATGATACTAGAAAATGAAAGGAATCATCTTTAAATCTACTATATTACTAAGAACTTTCTGATGATGCTTAACACCTAAGGATTATTTCCTCTAATCTATTTCATGTTTATTCTAATGTCTGAATTAATATACTAATGGTTTCACCATTCTGCTAGTGTTGGACTCCAGCCTCCATGGTATTTGCTTACAGGCTGAAGGAGGTGAACTGCAGCCTCCTTCAGAAGGAGATTTATCAGACTCTTCATGGAAGGCCCAGACCAGAGCAGGTTGGCGTGTTTGGCAATGCTGACCCTGCCCAGAAAGGAGGGTGGACCAGGATCCTCAGCAAGAACTGCAGTGTTTCAGTAAGGGAACAAATCTACTCTGACTGGTATCTTACTTTCCACATTTCAAAATTATGGATAGGAAGAACAGTGAAAGCCAGCCTTATTTCTATCTGTATTTGTCATACCAGGAAGAATATAAGAAATTATGCCCATTTGAGGTCACTGTTTGAGGTTATAGTTGCATCTAAGCTATTTTCCTTACTTAAAAAAATTGAGTATCAATAATCTGGAGGTTGCCTGTGATTGAAAAATCATACCATGTATTCCAAATATTCTCTTGTATTCTCTTTTATTACATTTATTGTGTGTGTGCGTGTGCTGCAGTGCACACATGGGGAGATCAGAGAACAACTTGTATGAGTTGGTTATCTCCACTGTGTGGTTCCTGGGGGTCAAACTCAGGTCCAGTGACTTGCCTTTACCCATTGAGCCATGCATGCAGCTCTTCTTATGTTCTTAAATATGGTCAACGCAGGTTATTTTATGAGGTTGAAATTATACTCATTATTTTGTGGTTTTAAAAGTTTACATTTTAAGGCCTGGGTGTGTAATTCCGTTTAGAACTCTGGCTGGATCACTGTATTGGAATTGGTCCCCAACACCACCAAGTAAAGATTACATTTTCACATTTTCTTAAAAATACATTAGCGATTTAAAAGTTGAAATCAAGTAAAATGGTATCTTTCCTGCATCTTTCGATTAATCCTCTTAGAGTACTGCTTTAAATATGCCATATTTTATTCTAAAAACTTGCATGACTCTCAGGCATCTTCCACACAGACCACTTGGATGGTTTCAGTCTCTAACTCTAGGGTATCTTCTTTACTCTGTCATTGCTCCTGTTTATTTTATTTTATTTTTTTAACTTTATGTGTATGAGTATATTACCTTACATGAGTGCACCTGTGTCGTGCAGTGCCACAGAGATCAGAAGAGGGTGTCAAATTCCCCTGGAACTGGAGTTAAAGACAGCTCATAGCCATCATGTGGGTGGTAGGAATTGAACCTGGTTCCTCTGCAAGAGCAGCTAGTGCTCTTAACCACTGAGCCATCTCTCTAGCCCCAGCTCCTGTTTATTTTAAATCCTTTACTTCAGCCAAGATGTCTACTCAAAGCCACTGCCTTTGCATAGCCTTGGCCCATAGGAGATACTTACTAATTGTCATTTAATTAGTGTTTCTCCATGGCAACATGTACTGTTCTAATTGCATACCTTTTTGAACTTTTTGGAATACTTGGAAAAAAATTTGGTGTTAGTTTTCCTTTTTAAAAGTTGATAGAGCTGGGCATGGTGGCGCACACCTTTGATCCCAGCACTTAGGAGGCAGAGGCAGGCAGATCTCTGTGAGTTCAAGGCCAGCCTGGTTTACATAGCGAGTTCCAGGCCAGCTGGGACTACAAGTTGAAAAACAAACAAACAGACAAAAAACAGAACACATACAGTCTGCTGTAAACTTTTTTGTGCTTCATCTAATCCATACTGTCTTCTATATTATTACTTAAAGCTTCAAAAGCAGTGGCTACTTGGACTGGAGAGATGGCTCAGCAGTTAAGAGCGCCCATATCAACCTGTAACTCCAGTTCCAGAGTCCTCTTCTGGTCTCCATAGGCACCTGCATGCACATATGCCTACACACAGACCCATAAACATGAATAAAAATAATTTTTAAAATGAAAAACAAGGGGGCTGGAGAGATGGCTCAGCAGTTAAGAGCACTGACTGCTCTTGCAGAGGACCCAGGTTTGATTCCCAGCACCCACATGGCGGCTACAAACCATCCTTAACTTCAGTTCTAGGGGAATCTGAAGACCTTGTCTGACCTCTGAGGCATTGCATGACACAGGTGCACCCACCTACATGCAGCCAATACACTCATACACATAAAATAAAAATAATAAAATATTTTTTTAAAAAAAAGAAAAACAGTGGTTACTGAATGCATGCTTCTTTGTCTTGTGCAGGCTAGGAACTGCCCTTCTTGCTGTTCCATACCAGTTTCCCTGGAGATTCAGGTGTTGTGGGCGTATGTAGGCCTTCAGTCCAACCCACAAGCTCATGTGGCAGGAGCCCGATTCCTGTACCAATGCAAGTCCATGCAGGTAAATCATGCTTCGTATCTGCCACTTGATAACCAGGTCACTGTTTAACTTCTGAGAACCAGTTTATGTTGCTAATGAATGTTTATTTTAGAGGGAGTTGACAAAATTCATTTTCAAGTCCATGGGTATGAAAATTAACATTTTGTTGTGGTGAATACAACTGTACCCATTTTTCCGTTTTTTGTTTGTTTTGTGGTTTTATTGTCCCCAGATTTCAGTATAGGTTAGTTTATCTCAAATAATCCTACCATTATTACTGATCTGACTACAGAAAACATTTTCTATAAATGTCTGTTCACTGGACAACCACACAGTTATTAGTGTCTCAGAGTCCGTTGCTTATGATTAAAGTTAAGGGTATAGTTACCAATTCTTGCTTCTATGTACTCCATTAAATATGGTCTGCTTTTTAATCTGTAGTAAACATATGTCTGTTGTTCATAATGTGCCTTAGGACAAGCAGTATCTGCCTTGGGTTTAGAATGTAATCATACGGTTTATAGGCTGAAAAGCATGGTATTTTCATTTTACTTGAAAATAATCAGGTCCAGGTGAAATGATTTATATATAAACTGGTGTGCCAGGTTGTTAACTGTTAATTAAAACAGACTGGAATTCCTATCTGTTGCAGTATATTTGCCTTCTAGAAAAAAAAACTCAAGACTGCATTTAGATGTGGCATAAAATACCTATATTCTTCCTCATAGCAGAGTTGGACAACTTAGTTCTCTTTGCCTTTCAATGGGGTTAGCACTCAGGTTACCAGAAGCTGTATTCCTTAGAGCATTTTCTTCTTTCCCTACATGGAAGTGCTTCTTTAAGACATATATATAAGTCCATTACCAACCTGTACTGAATCCATTGTCAAGAAAAACTGACAATATATACTTTGACACTGTATTTATGAGTTCTATTGTTTTTGTTTTCTTTTCCAAAATCTCTGATTCTCTTGGTCAGTAAAGCCACCCAATGTCTTTTTCTTATCCAGATCTTTTAACCAGAATGTTTTTGGTAGTTTGCAGAGGTTAGCTTTTCAAGTTGGTCTGCCCTGTTTACAGAACTATACAGTCATTTAATCTACTTGGCCTAAATGGACAAAGGATTTTGCTGCATTGTAAAATGAAGTGAAGCAATAAGTCCTTGGAGCCTGATGAAATGTTGAAACCCAGTTTATTAGTGGTAACTTCTAAAGTAAACATTGTAAAATTATATCACTTAAGTAGAGATAAAGGAGGTCAACTGTACATAACAGAACTGGATCCGTGGTAGAAAGAAATGTGCTGTCTTGGCCATGTCTTTTGTCTGTCTCAATAAAAGAAATGAGACAATCAGAGTTTGAGGGAATTGTGTTTGTGGCTCACCCACTGAACAATGAGTTCTCAAATTTTCCCTATACATAACTTTAAAAGTTCAAAAAGAAAAACTTCATGTTTCAAAATTCAAATGTAGTGCACTGACTGTAACTTAACGTATGCTGTATATGTGGTTAAAAAAAACTCACATTCTCAAATGAATCAGCAACGTTCATTATTACTGACTGACCTTATAAGTACAATTTAATTCCTGTTAATTGGACAGTCTCCTGGGATGCATTTACTCAAAACCGTCATACAATTGTGAAGACTTATTTTTGTTTTAATTGGCGTATAATAATTTTACATGTTCTAGGGATACAGAATGGTATTTTAATACATTATACAATATATAATGATCAAATTAGAGTAATTAGCATTTCTATCACCTCAAACATTTATAATTTCTTTGTTATGAATATTTATAATCCTTCTGCCTACTTTGAAATACACAGTAAATTGTTAATTATAGTTACCTTAGTATGCTATAGAACACCAGAACTTTTCTTTTTATTATGGTATTTGTTAACCATTCTTTTTTTGTTGTTGTTTCTGAGACAGGGTCTCCCTATAGCCCCAGCTGGCCTGGAACTCACTATGCACACTAGGCTGGCCTTGAACTCACAGAGATCCGCCTACCTCTTCTGAGTTTTGGGATTAAAAGCATGTGCCACCACGCCCAGCATTGCATATCTTTTTTTTTTTTTTAAGAGTTTTAAATTTATTTATGTGCATGTGTTTGTCTGTGTGAATATAAGCAGTGTGTGTGGGTTCCTATGGAGGCCAGAAGAGGACAGTGGATCCCTTAGAGCTAGAGTTACAGGCAGTTAATTGTAAACTGCTCAACGTGGATGCTGGAAACCAAACTTAAGTCCTCTAGAAGAGTAGGAAGTGCTCTTGACTCCTGAGCCATCTCTCCAGCCCCTTCTTACATATCTTTGAGAATATAAACAACTTCATCTTTCATTGTCTGTTTCCTTTGAGTTTACCTGTCCATTTAATAGTTTTTCTGTTTAATGTAAACAGATTTGATATTAATCAATCTCTAGCTGTTTGAAAGCTCAGTGATCATAGGTGGGATTTGCTAACCTGGAACCTTCACTGTAGGGCAATGAGGTGCAATTGCTTTTGGGGTTATGGAACTGCCAGCCTGGTCTACATAGTGAATTCCAGGCCAGCTGGGGCTACAGGGAGACCCTGTCTAAAAAAAGACCAATAATAATAATAATAATAATAATAATAATAATAATAATGTAGCATAAAACTTTTTAAAAGAGACTTAGATAAATTGGGATTAAAGTATCAGTTTTGATCCCAGGAAAACTCTCATCTGGTAAAAGGTATCTGCTGTGAGGCTTGATGACCTGAGTTCAATCTCTGGGACCCACATGGTGAAAGAAGAGAACCAACTCCTGCAAATTGTCCTCTGACCGCCACATGTACACCATTTCATGCATGTGCCCACACATATATGCACACACACATGCATAAAATAAGGATATATATATATATATATATATATATACTTTTTTTTTTTTGGTCTTTATGAGACAGGTTCTCCCTGGAGTCCCAGCTAGCCTGGAACTTGCTATGTAGACCAGGCTGGCCTGGTAGACCAACCCACAGAGATCTGCCTGCCTCTGCCTCCCAAGTCCTGGGATTAAAGTTGTGTACTACCACACCTAGCAAGGATAAATTTTTTAAATGTTATAAAATTTTTTCTTAAAAATCACTTTCGGGGGCTGGAGAGATTGCTCAGCGATTAAGAGCATTGGCTGCTCTTCCAGAAGACCCAGGTTCAATTCCCAGTACCCACATAGTGGTGAACAACCATCTGTAATTCTTGTTCCAGGGAATCTGACACCCTCTTCTGGCCTCCACAGGCTTTGCATGACACAGGTGCGCTTACATACGTGGAGGCAAAACATGCATATAAAATAATTTTTTTTTTTTGTCTTTTTGAAGCAGGGTCTCCCTGTAGCCCCAGCTGTCCTGGAACTCACTATGTAGACCAGGCTGGCCTTGAACTCACAGAGATCCGCCTGCCTCTGCCTCCCAAGTGCTGGGACTACAGGCATGCACCACCATGCCCAGCTAAAAATAAATTTTTTAAAATCAGTTTTCCTACTGATAAACACTCTGTAGGTAGAAGTGGCTCAGGTATTACCAGTGGGCTTCAAATAACATTCTTGCTGGGTGCACGCCTTTAATCCCAGCACTTGGGAGGCAGAGGCAGGAGGATCTCTTAAGTTCAAGGCCAGCCTAGTCTGCGTAGCAAGTTCCAGGCCAGCTGGGGCTCCAGGGAAACCCTGTCTCAAAAAGTCCAAAAATAAATAAATAACATTTTTAGTATGTTTTGATAATGTTAGATTTGCTCCAAATTTTTGAATATATCTCATTTTCTCATTATAAAGTTCCTGGGGGGAAATTAAGGTCCTAATAATAAATCCTATCATAAGTTAAAAGTTCAAAGAAAGTTTATTGCTTATTCTTGAGTTTCCTACTTAAAACTTGTCCTAATTTCCTTTGTTTGGTTAGTCTCAGACAATTTTCAGTGCCTAGTTGGATTCTGAGTTCCCTGGGCCACTTCAGCCAAGCCTGGCTGTCCTTGGATGAATGTGGCTTATCCTCTCAAGTTCTATGCCAAGGTCATCGTGAGCTTCACTGTTCAATAAAAAGAACCAAGAGAATTAATATGACCTGCGGGATTATCATAGTATTGGGTCTACACCCTTTTAAAATTTTTTTAAATTTATTTTATGTATATGAGTGTTTTTGTCTACATGTGTGTAACTGAACCCATGTCATGCCTTGCCTATGGAGGCCAGAAGAGGACGTCCAATCCCCTGGAGTTATGGACAGATGCGGACAGGGAACCAAATTCCAGTCCTCTGCAAGAGCAACTAGTACTCTTAACCACTGAGCCATCTCTCCAGCCCTTATACTTGTTTTAAAAACAAAAATAAATAAAACCCCTAGAAGGCTAATTTCAGGCCAAATTACATTTCTGGAGTCTGGTATTTGAGGTACTCATGAGCCACAACAGAATGAGAAAAAGAGAAAGTCTTCATTCCAGGACCCACAAAGTATTATTTACTCTCATGTTATAATCAAAGTTTGCTTGGTAAACAGAGACAGAACAAAGGGAATTCACTTTCAAGACACATTCTAGTATTTGACATCAGGTGCAGCCATATCCAAAAGTCAGATCTTGTAGGTCCTAACAAGGTTATTTCTTCTATTTGATAGAAGGATCTTTTTTAAAATTTGAGAGTCTGTGAATCTGATAATTTTTTTTTTTTAGCTCCTCATTTTTCCATGAAATTTCACCCATCTTTACTGCTTCCACTTGTACATGTGCACTGTTTCCAAGCCTGCAGCTCATGGCCTGACAGAGCAGAGCTGCTAAGCATGTAACAGTAACAGTTTTGCCATCTGGCCCCTCTGGTATCAGGCAGCTCCCTACTTGAAGACAGTGAAAGTTAGTAGGTTTTTGTTTTGTTTGTTTATTTGTTTGTTTTGAGACAGCGTCTCTCTGCAGCCTCAACTGGCCTGGAACTCACTATGTAGACCAGACTGGCCTCAATCTCACAGAGATCCACCTGCCTGCTTCCTGAGTACTAGGATTAAGGCCTTGTGCCACCATGCCCTACAAAGTTTTTTTTTGAGACAAAGTTTTTTTTTTTTAATATGGTCTAGACTTGCCTCACACTTTTCATGTAGTCAAGGATTACCTTAAATTCCTGATCCCCCTGTCACCGGCCTCCACAGGCATGTGTGCTGACATGCCAGGCTCTGAGAATGAGTCTTTAGGTGTACCTGTTCACAGTTCTGGTGTCATGGGATGTTGCTAAGAAAATTGTTTGCCTAGATCTTATACAAAGAGAACTACACAGGACCACTATGAGAAAAAGCTACATCTTACTTAGAACAATTTATTTTCAGTCTCCAAAGAGAGTAAAAACAAAAGCCAAGTAGGAGGACTTCATGAAATGTCCTGCACATTGACCTATCATTTTCTTTTTCTGTAGGATCACCAGCAAGGAACAGAAGTATCTTTGACAACTCTTGTGAACTTTGTGGACATTACTCAGAAGCCAGAGCCACCAAGGGATCAACCTAGAACGGACTGGAAATTGCCGTTCGATTTCTTCTTTCCCTTCAAAGTGGTGTTCAGCAGAGGGGCCAACCTTCAGAGGGACTTAGTCTCTCCCAGCCTTATCCTGTGTCTCTTACTACTTGGAGCTCTCAACTCACAGACTAAGTAAAGAAAGAACAGTCAGGTTTCATTTTTTCCCTATGGGAAAGCTCTAAGGCAGCCTACTTGTCTTGGCTAAACAGAGTCTTGCATTTAGGAAAATAAAACCTAATTAAAGGATTTTTTGTATATGAAAGAAGATATTTTAGAAAAGCAATAAAAACAAGTTCATTAGAGCTCTCTGCTTAGGCTCTACAGGACCTCAGGTACACATTGGGTTCTCTGCTGCTCAGTCTGGAGAGGCCAAGAGCCTTCTGCCTTTCATGTTGCATTTTGCTTCACTAAAGTTTGGGAGATCTGTGTCTAGTTAGTTGCTCACAGCTGCTGTCACCCAAAATGAACTCAGGATGGCTGACCTCTGGACTTGTACTAACAACTCAGGCCCTGAACTGCTTGCTGGCTCTATATTTTGTCTGGCTCTTTTGCCAAGGTCTGGCCACACCCTGGGCCCAGACCTGAGTTTAGAAAAGTAGTTCTTTCTATTCAGTTTTCAAAATGAATGGGATCCCGTCTCTTTCCAGTAGCAAATGACACTGCCATTCCTTTCTGTTCTGCCCTTGCTGTGGTGAGAAAAATAAAACTGATTGAGACCTTTATTGTACAAAACCCAGCAGCAGGGCAGAAGTTCATGCCCTGTGATATACCTCGGAATATACGTTATGTGTATAAAGTTTAAGGGCTGGGGACTTCCATGAATTGCATTTGAATCACTAGTATTTGAATCAAGGGACTTGGTTTCTTTTTCTGGAAGACACTCTCTAAAGATCCCAATTTTATGCCAGTGACAGCTCGTAAGGCAGTGGCAGCTTACAAAAGGCCCTGACTGACTGGCCAGTTCAGAGATCATAGCATGCAAACTTTTTGAAAAGGTTATTTCCTATTATTATTCCTCAGTGAAGAGGAATTGGTTGAGAATTATAATAGAAAACTTGGATTATAGTAGCAAACGTACTCATGGTATCCTTGTAATTTAGGCAAGTTTTTGATAGCGGTGCATTAAATTCAATTATTTTAAACTATAATCCTTAGAATAAGAGGTTGAATATAAAGAATTGAGATACACAAATTAATTCATTAATAACTCCAGTGAAACCATGTGAAATGTGGAATTCAGCAGTAGCAGATACCCAGTCCACTTGGAACCAATTACAGGTTCTTTTCATAATCAGTCCTTCTGTACCCCTTTGTTCGGATACTAATACTTGTGTCCAAGTGTTATGAAACCATTCTGTGCCTTCAAAAATTCTAGCTAACATGCAGCCTTTTAAAGTGAGTGTATACTTCAGGGCTGGGAAGATGGCTAAGCAGGTAAGGAGCTTGCCATGCAAGCATGAGTACTGGAGTTCATATCCCCAGAGTCCAGGCAAAAACCTGTATGTGAAATAGAGTCCTGCAGGCTCCTGGAACTTTGTTCATATGAACCTACAGCAGTAGTGTCAGCTTGCACAAGACTCATGCAAACTCAAGCAGACAAAAACCAAGCACAGAACTGTGGAAATGGACAGCAGGTCCCATCACAGTAATCACCACTAATTCAGAGTTCTTAAATCACCCTTAAAACAAAAACCGAAGAACTTTTGGCAGCTGATTTCTGCTAGCTGAGGAAGAGCTGATCTTAAAGGGAGGGACTCTAGACAGGCTGACTAGACCTCAGTGGATGAACTTGCACTGAGAGACATCTGGGCCACTAACTTGACTGAATAGCCCTTAACACAAATGCATGAACACAAGTGGGGGGCTATGGAAAGTGCCAATGGGGAAGGGGATATAAAAATCATAATGATATTCTGTATGAAATACACAAAATTCAATCGAAAAAATTTACAAAGAAAAACCTGAATGTGGATTGGCCATAATCCCTGAGCTTGGGAGACAGGGACAGACTCCCTAGAACAAGATGGCTAGCCGTATAGTTAAAATGTCAAGCTCCCGTTTCAATTGAGAGACTACCTCAATGAATTAGGTGGAGGGCATTTGAGGAAGACACCCACAGTTAGCCACAAGACTTCACACAAACATACATGTACACCCACATATGCATCCATCATGTGCATACACACTGTACACATACACAAAAGTACAATTCAATATAGTCACAAACAGTAATCACCACTAATTCCAGAGTTCTTAAATCACCCTTAAAACACAAACTACTCCTGGGGCTGGAGAGATGGCTCAGCAGTTAAGAACACTGACTGCTCTTGCAGAGGACTCCGGTTCAGTTCCCAGCACCCACATGATGGCTGCAAATTGTCCTTAACTCCAGTTCCAGGGGAATCTGAAGCCCTCTTCTGACCTTCATGGCATTGCACGACACAGGTGCACTCACATGTAGCCAATACGCTCACATAGAATAAAAAAATTTAAAAACTCCTTAGCAGCCCCTTACCATTTTCCCTCCCTGTTGTCCTTCGTAATCACTAATCTTTCTCTATAGATTGCCTGGTCTGGAAATTGATCATGAAATGTGACCTTTTGTGTCTGATTCATTCACTGTATTTTCAAAGTTCATCTAATATGTAGCATATATCAATACTTTGCTCCTTTATGACTTGGTAATAGTTCATGCAGGGGTATACCACATTTGGTCCATGTAGCTGACTGTTAGAAACACTGTATAAAAATTTTGTCATGAAGGGCTGAAGAGATGGCTCAGCAGTTAAAAACACTGGCTGTTCTTGCAGAAGACCCGGGTTGAATCCCAGTACCCACATGGCAGCTAACAACTGTCCATAACTCCAGTTCTAAGGAATCCGACAGCCTTTTCTGTCCTCTGCCAGCATTGCATGACACAGGTGCACTTACCTATATGCAGCCAATGCACGCATACACATAGAATAAAAATAATAAAATTAAAAAGTCTTTGGTGTGGACATAGTTTTTCATTTTTCTTGGGAATATGCATAGGAGTGGAATTGCTAGATCACATGGCAACTATGATGTACTGAATTTTCAGGCCACTTTGTGATAGAATTTCAAAATGATTGTCATTGGAATGCTTGATACACATTAGGTTTTATACTTAGTCTCTACATATAGAACAATGTGGTCTTAGTTCTGTTATCTACATAGGAAAGCTATTTACTGCATGAGAGATCTTTGTTATATTCTAATTATATAATTATATTCTAATTTAAGGAACTTGTGTGTTTTACACACAAAAAAAAGAATATGTACTATTTGGATAAAATGGAGTTGAAACCCTAGCCAAACCCTAGGTGTGGAGAAACAGATACTCTCAAATGCTTCCAGTGGGAATGTAGGAAAAACGTCATAACAGTTTGATTTTATGTATCACAGGTCTTAAAAAATGTTTGCAAGATAGATATTGGTTCATGTCTGAAATCACAGCACTTCAGAAGTTGAAGCAGGAGAATGGCAACTTTGAAGCCAAGCCTGGACTTCATAGAAATTTCAAGGCCAGTCTCAACTACATAGAAAGACCCTATTTAAGCTGGGTGTGGTGGTACACCCCTATAATCCCAGCACTTAAGAGGTGGGGCAAGAGAATCAGGAATTTAAGGCCAGGTAGGGGCTGCATAAGACCCTGCATCAAGAAATTGGGGGAGATGGAGCGGAAGAAAAAAGAAAGACTTTATAAACCTTAACCCTGTAATTCCAGATACTAGGAATTACATAAAGGAAAAAATGGCCAACAGTGTGGAACCAATTAAATTTATAGTACATTGTAGATTGGAAGCTTGAACAGCCGTTGAAAATTCTGTAGAAGTGCTGTGTTAATTGCTTTTCTGTTTCTGTGATAAAATACTATGACCAAAAGCAGCATACAGAAGACTTTATTCTGGCTTACAGTTCCAGAAGGAGAGTCCATGATGGTGTGGCAAGCATGGCAGCAGACAGCCAGAGCTAGAAGCTAAGGTCCCATCTCAGTGGTACACAGGAAGCAGAGAGCAAGCAGGAAGCTGGGCAAAGCTACAAACCCTCAATGCCTTCCCCTTGGAAAATACTTCCTCCAGCCAAGCTGCACCTTCTAAAGGTTACATAATCTTCCCAAACTGTGCCACCAGTGGGGGACCAAGTGTTTTGATGCATGAGCCTATGGGGGATATATCTCATTCAAACCACCACACTTGCCTTTATTGCAATAGGAAAATATTGATGGCTTATTTTTAAAGATTTTTTTTATATTGTGTGTGTGTGTGTGTGTGTGTGTGTGTGTGTGTGTGTGTGTGTATACACATATGCAGGTGTCAGCAGAGGCCAAAGAGAACTTCAGATCCCCTGGAACTGCAGTTGCATGCTGTTGTTAGCCACCCAATATGGGTGCTTGGAACTGAGCTCATGTTTTCTAGAAGAGCAGCAAGCTTTCTTAACCATTGAACCATCTCTCCAGCCCCCTCATAACGTACTTTTTAAAAAAGGTTTTATCTTTTATTTTATGTATGAGAGTTTGCCTGTCTATGTATTTGTGTACCATGTGTGTGCCTGGTGCCTACAGAGGCCAGAAGAGGGTGTTAGAGACCCTGGAACTGGGGTTACAGATGGTTGTGAGCCACCATGTGGGTGCTGGAAACTGAGCCAAGGTCTTCTGCAATAGCAGCAAGTGCTCTTACATTCTGAGCCGTCTCTCCAGCCCTGTCATGACCTATTTTTAAGCAAAGAAAACATTACAAAATATCACATATACTCTATGGACCTATTTTTGTAAAACAAAAAATATGTATGTGTGAATGGAAAACAAAAAACTGAAAGACTACATGTCAAAAATGAGGTTTGTTTTTTTTAAAAAAAAAAAAGGCTTTATAATCAGAAAATACTACTATACTGTGAAGAAACTACTTTCTGAAAAGAACTTCCACTATATTATTGCAGGAATATTCTGCTTTATGAGTAACTCCCCTTTCTGTTAATGTATTTGTTCAACATCCTAGGCCTAAGATTACTCCCAACTTCCTGTTGCAATGTAATCTGCTGGGCCCTGCCTCTAGAGATTCTGGTTCACCAGTGGAAAGCAAAGACTAGGAAGCAGGGACTTTTTAAGAATTTCTATCTTAGGGGCCAGCAAGATGGCCTGGCAGGTAAAGGCGTTTGCTGCATAAGCCTGACAACCTGAGCTTGATCCCTGAACCTGTGTAAAGGTGGAAGGAATGAACCAGTGCACACCATGGCCCATGTGCCTCCCTCCCTCCATACACATAATAATAAATGAGCATATTAAAAACAAAAGAATCTGTATTTTAGTTGGGCGTGGTAGTACACACCTATAATCCCAGCCCTTGAGAAGCAGGAGGACCACAAGTTTCTCCTATTATTATTTTGGTTTAGTTCGGTTCAGTTTTCCTGGTTCTTCTGATGTGCTGCCTGGGTTGTGAAACTATAAAGTGCATACAGTGTAGCTGAAGTGTTTGTCCCGTCTCTGCCAACTTCTGAATA